TTTAATGACAGTAAACTACAAGGGTATGAATAAAAGGCAGGTAAATGGGACTGAAATGATTGCGCTTCAAAGAGCTGGGACAGACATGATGGGCTGAATGTGCTGTAAATTTCTTTGGTTCTATAACACATTCCTTTGGAAAATACATTTTCATTTGGAAACTGCACTTCCACTCCCTCGGGGGATTGCATCCACTGTGACCTGAGTTCATGTTTAAAGGACTGAATTCATAGCAGCTCAGACACCAAGCAATTGCAAGATGCTGGTTTGTGCTCAATTCCTGATCCCAGGCCAGGATGTCAACTACAGTGTAGGCACTTTCTCCACAGAATTATAGAAAAACTAAACCAAGGAGCAGGCGCTGACGCGATGGGCCGAATGGCCTCTTTCTGTGCTGTATGATTCTATGAACTTGGCTGACCAGAGTCACAAAAGGATCACATTCCACAGCTGGTGGTCATACTTTCAGTTTATACCACACATCAATAAGAAATGAAACCAGGGGAGTCTGTACACGCTGTGATGATGAATGAAGAAGCACTTTCGGTCTATTTTGATCTTATCCTTCCACAATACCCACTTTGCCATCTTCCCATTAGAGCATCAACAGTTTCCTAAGAGTCCAGTATATCCAGGCCTCAACCATGCCTCCTGGTAAACCATTCCCAGCTGTTCATTACTAAGCTTCACCTTGTTGACCCTGATGCTGTTGCCAAGCGAGGCAGTATGGTGAGTGTGGCCCCAGGTAATGGCATTGCCACTTACAGATGCAACACTGACTTGGAAGGGAAGTGCCAGGGTACAATGTAAAAGTGGTATTAGGGAGACACTGTGTCAGTTATTTTCTCAGTGGGTGAAGAGCGTATCTTAAGGATAACAAAATGCAAAGGTTGGACAGTACTCTATCATTGTCAGCAGTTGCAGTTGTCAGCGGTTGTCATGAACGGAACAGTCTCCATCCGCTGAGATTAAGAAAGCTGTGCAGAAACAAGGAGCCCTGGGAGGGGAAAACGATTCACAAATCTGTAGAATGAACTGTAATAAAAGCATGCTCACACAAAACATGGTCTGATCAATCTCATGTACAGCCAACTCAGTTTTGTTTGCATCTCACACTCCTATTGTAAATGTGATCAATTAGACAAAACCGAGGCAGTTTGTTTGTTCAGAGAGCTCTTCATGTGTGGCTAATGAGACAAACGGTACTGTTCAGCCTGTGCTGCCTGTTAGTTAATAAATTGCTCATCTACGTTTTGCACATTGCATTTGATTCAAATTAAATATTTCACCAGCCGTACTATTATTATCTCAAGGCAGTAATTTGTGAAATCAACTCAAAACGGCATTATGCAGCACCAGGTTTAGGTAAGGAGCAAAGGATGAAACACAAAAGTAACCCTTTCAAGTGCAAACAGTTGATTGATGAATGTACCAACCCAAAGCTGGAAAATAATAGCTTAGCTTCCACTTTGAGTGAAACAACTGTGGCTGCAGAGATGGTTTTGGAAATCAGTGGCTGCGCTTTTATATACGAATGCTGCCTGACACTCAACTTTGACAGTAACAATTGGCAAGAGTGTTGATTAGAATATGGCAGAGAGGTGGGTACTTCACCATCAGGGAAGAAGCACACCACCTGTCAGTGCAAAGTGCTGCTTGTGTCTCAACATATCTAGCCTGCTCCTCATTCAGCCACTTTGCCATTCAAAAATATACTGTTGAGTGAAGAGTTGAAGTGGAGGAGAGTAAATGGTGTGAATGGAACTGCTTAATGAAACTCCCAAGTGTCACCAAATCAGTTCAAGGGGACAGAAAATCAAAAAGGGAGGACTTTCTGTTCATAGCACCTCAAAGATACCTCTTGTGAAGTATCAAATATAAGGATTATTATTATGTCCAAGCAGAGATTGCTAAATAATGTATGAAAGGCAACCGTTTCGCTAACTATCTTTGAGATCAAGCTTATATTAATAGTTGGTGAAACAGATTAATACAAGGGAGCTGAAACAGAACACAAATAATAAACACCATCTGTTGGAAGCAGAGAGGAAAATGTCACAGCCTCTCCTATCGTCAGGTCTGATTTTCCATCCAGAAAGCTGGAACAATTAGGAACAAAGGAAAAAGTTAACCTTCTTACTTCGAAAAAAACCCAGCTGATTCCTATTTTTCTCATTCATACAATATGCTGAAACAACCTGTCCACAACAGCACAAAACCAGAATTACTTATTTCAAATTATCATAGCATGAGATAGAAGCTCACCCTACTAGCCGGATAGGCTGCTGTCTCAGTTGTGGAACTGCCTCATTTGATCCAGAATGGTGGTTTTCACCCATTACTCATTTTCCAATTTAATGTGTACATAACAGTATGTATGTGAAATCTACATGTGAAAAATATAGATGAAAAAGTACAATCTACTGTTATGGGCAAAATAATCTAGAATGAAATCTATTCAAATCCAATTCAATTTTATATCTATTACGCTGTAAAAGGTTAGATGAAAAAACATGATCTATTCTTTTAGCCAAAAAGAATTAGAATGAAATCTATTTAAATGTAATTCCACTACTATATTGATTAAGCAATAGAGACCTACAGTGGGTTTAAACTACAGTCTTGTTAGGGCACATTTCTGCTTACCACAGCATTTCCATGTCACTAAACCTTGTTTCTATTCCTCAATCCCCACAACGTAACTCTATAAATAGACATCTTAATACGTGAATGAACTAAGAAAGCAAACTAAAAGGTAACATTGTGTGTGCATTCAAGCTGTAGTGTTTAAGACTGCCTGGGTTTTGTCCATTTACTCACCAAAGAATCGTAACAGACTTCTGACCCATGCCCTCGCAAAGAGATATTCCTTGTAACAAAGCTATTAGCAATGGAGGTATTTTCTACCCTCCCGTTTTGGATAGAGTAAAGGAACAGAACTGTGCTATCCATTTTGTGCAGGAAACTCTGATTCAATAAAATACATGCCACACTAACAACTATGTCAAGGGACCTTAGAAGCACTTACTTCAGGGCTCTCAGAAGCCTGGGGCCCATCTGGTTTCAAAGGTCAAGGCAGATTAGATTGTACCTCTTATGCTTGAAGATGTGCATAACTGGGTAACAAGAAATACTTCAAACCTCTCGGTAAAAGGTACACCCAATGCTATTGTTTTTTAAATCATCTTCCAGTCAGGTTGTGAATGGAGACAGCTGCAGAGGAAAGAATAGAAGGCATCTCAAGGTGCTGGGTTGCAGCTCATTCAAACTTCAGACACATCATCCAATACCCATCCCAAACCGGTCCATCTCTCAAAAGCATAGGTTGGAAGAGGTTCTCAAAGTCAGATTTTATGCTATATCTGCGGTGGAATAAGGGGAGATCTTATCAATACAAACGGGGTAATGACACTATTCCCCTGAGTAGATTTGCATCTTCAAATTCTAGGCTCGTATGATAGACTGAAAACAGGACACTAGGCTACATTGTCTCTGATGCTCAAATAAATGATCGCTCCATCTCCATAGGAAATAACGTTTACAAACAGTCCAGAGGCCTTTTGTGACTAAAGCAGCAAAAGAGACTACGTTTTTTTGCCTATTTTCGAAGGCGATAAACTAAGAAAACCTCTGCTCTTAGAATAACTGAATCCTTCCACAATGTGGACTTTAAGGTAAAAAGAAATGAAAGATTATTCCTCAGCACAATCACTGCCTCACTCTTGCTGACGAGGTGAAAGGCAATACAAGGCAACATTCGAGCAAGCATTGCAGTTTATTTTGTATCTGTGCGGTGGGCAGAGAAGTTAGAAACAGTATACCATTCTGAAATATTTCACTATTTCAAATAAAAGCATTACGAGGGAGGCACTGCAGTCCACACAGGACTGAGATGAACAAGCTCATTAGCTAACCAGGCATGAAATTGCAATAACCTACAGCAATCCAGTGGCAAAGAATTATTGCAGGAAATGAACAGTTTCCAAGTGTGATTTTAGGCATCAGGTCTGCCTGTTGCAAGCAGCTCTTTATGAATCAATGACCATGTATATTTCCGCTTAATATAAACTAATTTCATCAGTTTGCTTTTTCCTTTACAATTATTCTTTCTGTATTTCATGCTGTTTATTATTTTTATTGAAGCTGGTCGCTTTAAAAGCGAGATTTTAATCACTTTGTTACCCTCCAGCTAATTCCTTTCTTCCACATTTCCTTCCAAGAGACGTAAATCTCTTCTGTCGCAGTTCTGATTAACTACATTTCTATTCAGGTTATTAACAAGAATCAGAAAATATCAGCTTTTTCCAGAACAGTATGTGTTTTTAGGGAAACAAAACACAATTGAAACACTAATTGCTTGTTTCAAAAATCAAGCTTTGGCTGCAGACCATTACTCTGAAATGCTGCGATGTCACACCAGCTTACAGCACAGCACAGAACTGGTTGGATCCCAATTTGGCTAGCACAGCATCTCTATCCATGTGCAGATTCTTTGATGAACGCAAGATATAAGATTTTGAGTGTACATAAAAAAAAACTTTATATCTTACATAATAATAATCCTTGCTTTGATACAGCACCTTTCACCTCAGGAAGACGTGCTTCACAGGATTGATAGTAAAGTGCGGTGACTGTATTTTGTAGGTGAACATTTTGCCTAATTTTACCACGTCATCAGGTCTCTTCTTTTCCAGCTCTCACTGTCCAACTGGAATAGATACGTGCGGATCTGGGAGACTCAGCCTCTCCTTTATCTTCCTCAATCCTGAGAAACCACAACCTCCACACCTTAACAACTGAGTACAGGAGCTCTATGTGTGGCACACTCTATGCTATGATGCTGAGTCTCGGCCTCTGGAGCATTACACTGCAGTCTCAGCCAACAGTGGAACTTATTCCTGCAACTTTATTACGGGCTGAAATGCAGTTGCGTTCCACAACACTATAAACCGGATTATAGAAACTGAGTTTCTACATTCCCTCAAATCACCAAAATATACCTGAAACTTCCGGAAAGCTAAGACTGGTGGACGCCTCAGAAAGCTCAGGGACCGACCCTCCTTTCTCCAGAACTCGCAGTCGCTCTCGCAGACTGCCGCACTCTTCCCTCAGTGCTTTCAGCTCTGCTGTACGCTCGTCCTTTGCCAGACTCCAGGGGTTCATGCTCATGTGAAGAACCTTTGTTTTGGTGGGATCGTAGTCTCCCTGAAAGAGGGGAGAACTTTGATTAACATTGCAACGGGTAAGCACACAAACCTATTGTCACTGCCAAGTGAAATGCTTCTGAGGTGAAGGTTATGTCGCCAAATGTGGGAAACCATTCTATTTTCTAGAACTAATACATTGACAAGCTATGTGGTTTTAGCTGGTTAGACTCCAACATTGTGCCATTGGTTAAAAGATGCACAAACGTTGAGCCAATTCTCTTGGGGACACCAAGCCTTCACTCTTGCAAACCTGCGCTTAATACTTTCTGCAATTAGGTAAGCAGGATACGTCCCTCCAGGGAGAGAGAGCGCATTCCATTCCAACAATCTACCTCTGGGATTTCCATGTGTAGGTGGGATGCCTGGAATTCTCAGTTTGGTTTGGATACTCTTAAGCCCAGTGATGGGTTTCCACATCTGTCAGTCAGCTGGCTGACCACATAAAAACAAGACAGTCCATTTGATCTTACCCTTCCAGAGTACAGCCTCTGCAGACTACCCTACCAACACCTACCTCGGCCACTGTGTGCAAATTAGATGAAGACCTTTGTTAAAACGTGCCATCCTAATAAATAGCTGCACATATTTAGCAAGTCACTGTTCTGTCAGTGTTTAAATAAAGCTAGGTGTAGCCTAATCAGATGGTACTTCTCATGTACAGCATAAGCAGGTAATGAGGACTCGAAGGGCTAAAAGGGAGGCGTAAGAGGATGTTGGCTACAATTCCAAGATAATCTCTACTCTGTGCAGTAAGGGTCATTAAATTGCCGAGGCAAGAGAAGATCAAGAGCTCTTCCAATCAGATAACAGTATAGACATTAGTATTGTAAGACACTTTAAACTCACCTTCCCCCATTGGCATTAAGATTCAATATCCTTCCTTATGTGTTGTAAATGAGCAATGATCTGACCAGCTAACTTTACAGAACTGGTGGTCAAAGTCATCAAACATTATCTAGCAGCATCATTTACAGGGCAAGTTACTTTGTTATTCTCAGATCCCCCGGGTCATTTTATAAGCAGTTTTATTTCCAATGAAGAGAATTCACAGTAATTATGTCCTTTACAGGAATGCTATCTAGTCACAAATGCCTAAAGAAATAGGTTTTGGCAGTCATAATCAAATTCCCAGCTGACACAATTCCAGAGCACAAAATTGCCCTCAAATTCAGCGTTTAGTGTTAAGCCTCGTTTTCTGGCTCATTGTAGCCAGGAGAGCAAAGAAAATGAGGGGGGAAGAGAATCAAAGGCGTACCAGGATGGATCCGACCTAGGACGTGGTTGATTCATTGTGTCATTAGTTGAAAAGATGCACAAACTTTGAGTCCGCTTCACCGCGCGCTTTTCCTCTACTTGGATCTGCACTAACTTGTATTTCTGTTCAGTTGCTAACACCCTCAATGAACTACCATCTTGCAGACTTAAAATCTTAAAAACAGATCATCTTAAAAATAGTTCATAAAAGTGCTTCAACATAGAAAAGCCTGTGGCATTGACCCAGACCATTTTCTAGTTCAATAAATCCAGCATTTTATTGCCTAAACACAACAAAAAGAAGAGTTTAAGACACCCATTCACAGGGAACACAGACTGTGAACAGATATACCATTCCAATAGCGCATCCATGTGAGGCAGCCTTGATTCAGAAGGTCAACAAATTGAAATAAATCTGCCTCTTTTAATGACATCGCAATCACCTTCCCAACATAAAGCTTCCCAGGACACAGGATTTGAGCACCCAATGTTCTGTTACTATTTGAAAACCGTACTTAAATAGATCACATTAAATTGTCATAGTTACTGGTTTTATAGAGCTCAGCATACCTGCCACGGAAAGGTAAGAAAGCAGACGGGCTGGGCTCTCTCGGGACATCACTGGCACGATGCAGAATCATCAGTATTAATTAGTTCGTGATAGCCAATTATTCAAAATTGTGAGGAATTAAAAAGCATCCAGTTCATGCAACGGATATGCAGAGAGCAGCAAAGTGCAGACAGCACCTGCTGAGTAAAAACAGCATTAACAAGGCAATGCTTTCAGAGCTGACAGGCTATGGCGTCTTAGCATCAGGTAAACAGGGTGCATCCTACCGGCAAGAGAGTGCCCATTCCCTTCCAAACACAGGGAATGTGTATATGTATATGTACACATTTCCATGTGTAGGTGGTATACATATTTGGAGCTCTCAGTCTGGTTTGGATACTCTTAAGCATGGTGATGGGTTTCCATATGTGTCTAGCTGACCAAAACAACAGTCAGCATAAGTACTGCATCAATACCAGTGGCATTGTGGCTACAGATTAATGAGAAACTATTGATGGGTAGAAACATAGTGGTTACAATCCCTTAATTAAAATGATGAGCTTTTAGAAAATCATTTTCAATAAACGCGTGCTTCAACTTACCAAACTCATCATCAACAACAAAACAAATTTGTAAAGCGCCTTTCACATTCGGAGAACGTGCCAAGGCGTTTAGAACCAAAAAGCAAAAATAGTCTAAAAATGTGTTGATGATGAAACTTTTTTACATCACAGAATCAGCATCCAGGAACAGGAAAGACACTAATCTGTTAACACAATGATAACAGATAAAAATAATCCTTGAATTCAATATTGTATCTTTTGCATCAGAAGGATGTCTCAAAGTTTTTTACTGTGAAGGGTAGTGACTGTATATTTTTGTAAGCAAACACAGTAGCTATTTTGAGCACAGCAATGTTCCACATGAAGTGAATGACTAAGTTTATCTAGAAAGTTGTTTGCCACAATACTAGAGAAACACCACTCTCTTTTTGAATAGCAGCGTGGAATCTTTAACGTCCAACTGAATGGGCAGACAGGACCTCAGTTTCACATTTAATTCAAAGGATGGCACCTCCGACCATGCAGTGCACCGTGCACGATATTGGATTGTCAGCCTAGACACTCAGCTCAAAATCCCACAACCTTCTGACTCAACGACAAGAGTCACACTACCGACTGAGGCATGCCAACACTTAAATAAGTGCCATTTACTGATGGGAACTGCTGGATAGAACTGATTCTATCCTGGTTTCAATGTTGAATATATCAGAATTAGTGCAAGCTGCCTTAAAGGGGAAGAAACATAGGATTTCTTCTAGCATCTAAGAGATGTCTTCAGCAACAGTATCCCACATTATGTGGGAATGGGAGCAGAAAGAATATTTCATGTTGATTCATCTCACCCCACTGCCACAGTGATGTTCTTTATGGATCTGATTGAAAGTGGATGTAAAAGTAGATAGACTGTGTATGAAAAAATATTCCATGGGAGACGAGGAGTTTAATGTTGCTGGAGCGAGGGGAGGGGAAGCACAAAAAGAGATGTGGTCTAGGAAGGAAACTAGGGGTGCATATGAATGACATCATGCTTACTGTTAAAAAAAATTCTTAAGTTAAATAACTTTGATAGTTAACTTGTCCCTCTGTACTTCACTACATTATGTGTGGTTATGCAAGAGGGTCTGTGCGTTCCCAACTTGCGACTAACAGCATGTACAGCGCACAGCTCGTCAAGACTCTTCACATTGATTTGCACTGTGAGGAAAGAGACACATGAACTTGCTCGGTGAAACCTCACCTCAGAATGAATTAAGAGTACTAGTCTGATGAGCAGATTACTCAAGCTCCGGCTGTGACCAACTTTAAAAATTCAAAGTACATCCTGGCTTTTACAAAACATCCTATGTTTTTGCCTCTCCTTTGTATTCCATTTTCATAATCACTTAACTCTCTGTGGCAGCTAAAAGCCAAGCCCACGCCAGGTTCCAATACCAGTACGTAACTCTTGGTGCCAATGCCATCTGCTCTGTGTCTCTCCATTGTTTCACTTTAGTACAGGACTGTGTACAGAGCTTTCATACAGAATAATTATAAGGCCAAAACCCAATTTAGAAGTTCAGGTATCATAAACCATAAATACAAAATAATCTGAGCCCCAGAGAGTGGTTTGCAATTTTTAATCGCTTTTTTTTAAAGGAATCTATTATTTGAAAACTAATGTAACTGCAAAAAAAGACAAAAGGAAAAAATAGCACAAGTCTTTAATACCAATGAATGAAGATTGACAATCTTGTCTGCAGTAGGTTAAAAAGATGTTCACTGTGAAGCATGAATGAGAGCAGTCAACGCAGGAATGTGTAGAAACTCTGACTCTGATGGCTCCTATGCACTGTGGCAAACAGGTAGAAATGGTCCCAAAACCCTCTATTTTAGTGAAAACATATCTCTTTGATTGCATTTTTGGTGCTATTATCTCCTCCTCAGTTCCCTACCTCAGTTCTGATGCCCAGCCAGAATTATCAAACAATTTGGGATATCTTCCCGACATAAAATGTTGGGTCTCAAGTCACTCAGAAAACTGCACTATTGTTATAATCAACAAATACATTGATCATTTTTGCTGCTCATTGATCATGTTATTGATCAAGCAAAATATACAGTATATTCTGTGAAGCGCTTTGAGACAACTCAAAGATGTGATAAGGCACTATATCAAATGCAAGGATTATTATTAGTAGTATTGCAAATGTCATAATCACCATCAGGACCCCACATATTGATTTGAAAATTGACAGGATTATCATTAACTTGAAAAATCTGTTGTTTTAGTGCTTCTCAATTTCTATTGTGAAAAAGGTCTCAAAGTTACTGAATCCAAAAACGTGAACAAGCTGAATAAACACACACGAGCGACTGCACCACATATAAATTTAGTCAAGAGGGTCGCTTTCTGAAACAGGCTCAAGATGCAGACAACACTCCAGCAGAATGACCCTTGATTTTGCAAAGAATTCAATCGCTGCTAATCTATAGCAGAGCAAAATGCACTCAATGAACCATTCAGCTAACCTTTGCTTGGTAATGGGTTTTCCCGGTGTGCAAATGACACAAGAGGCAAATAGTCACCTCATCTTTCTGGTTATCTTTAGTCCAGTCACTGAGGAGAACAAGGCTGTAACTTCCCCAACAACA